TATCCGTGTCTCTGGATTTGCCTGTTCTGAACGTCTCATATAAATGGAATCGTACAGACGTGGTCTTTTGTGACTGGCTTCTTTCACTTAGCATCATGTGTATGGGGTTCATCCACGTTGCAGCATGAATCAGCACTTCATCACCTTTTACGGCCAAACAATACCCCATTGTATGGATGTGTCACATTTTGTTTATCCATTCATTGGTCGATGGACACTTGAATGCTTTGGCTTGTATGAACGTTTCTGCTATGAACATTTGTGTACGAGGTTTTGTGTGGGCGTATGTTTTCAGTATTCTCGGACACACACACACACACACACACACACACCCCTATGGAAATGCTGGGTGCAGTATTTTTTTTTTTTTTTTTTTTAAGAAAAATCCAGAAACTGCTTGAATAGCCTCAGGAGAGGACTGGCCAACTAGTTAGGAGTTGTAAATTCAGATGTCTTTAGAGACCAGGCGGGTGTTGTCAATGGGTGAAGAAGTTTCCAGAATTAGACACCGGGGGTTACCAGGTGCTGTGTCAAACTGGGGAAATTCTAGGGGAGCCATATCTGGGCATCCAGGCCAAGGTGAATGTTGCCAGAACTTCTGAGTATTCGAGAGAAGATGGAAATCAAGTTTTTATGATCTGTTTTCCTAATTTGAAAACATCTCTTGGAAAGTAATCTATGATGTTAGAAGTCAAGATGGCGGTGGAGGGTAGGTGTCAAGTTTTGTGTCCTGGAAATGGGGTAATGGCCAAAGGAGACCTTGCCCTATCTGTGTTTGTTTTATTTATTTATTTATTTATTTTTAAAGATTTTATTTATTTATTTGACAGAGAGAGACACAGCGAGCGAGGAAACCCAAGCAGGGAGAGTGGGAGAGGGAGAAGCAGGCTTCCCGCTGAGCAGGGAGCCCGATGCGGGGCTCGATCCCAGGACCCTGGGATCATGACCTGAGCCGAAGGCAGACGCTTAACGACTAAGCCACCCAGGCGCCCCAATCTGTGTTGTTTTAAAGTTTCAATTTCGTTTTAAGGTTTTTGTTGTTGTTGTTGTTGTTTTAAAGATTTTATTTATTTATTTGAGAGAGAGAATGAGCTAGAGAGCATGAGAGGGGGAAGGGTCAGAGAGAGAGGCAGACTCCCTGCTGAGCAGGGAGCCCGACGTGGGACTCGATCCCGGGACTCCAGGATCATGACCTGAGCCGAAGGCAGTCGCTTAACCAACTGAGCCATTCAGGCGCCCTCGTTTTAAGTTTTTAATGAAAAGAACCATTCCGAGTCATAATGAAAGGCAAGACTTGAATTAGCCCCTGACTACTAGAAGAGAAGCCCGCTTTTGACAGATCTACTAGCCAATATTGCACACATTTTACTTGTTTACAAGGACAATGTATTCTTGTCACTTGGCTAATTAAAAGCTAATTTTTAAAAAGTGCATGGTAGGGCGCCTGGGTGGCTCAGTTGGTTAAGCGACTGCCTTCGGCTCAGGTCATGATCCTGGAGTCCCGGGATCGAGTCCCGCATCGGGCTCCCTGCTCAGTGGGAAGCCTGCTTCTCTCTCTCCCACTCCCCGTTTGTGTTCCCTCTCTCGCTGTGTCTTTCTCTGTCAAATAAATAAATAAAATCTTAAAAAAAAAAAAAAAAGTGCATGGTAGAACTTCTATCTCTGGTCGTGATGGGCCAGATCTTTCGGACCAACCTTTCTGCTTTAACTAAAAATGCTGGATAAAATGCAGAAATACCTTGAAGTATGGAAGAGCCAACAGGTTGTAAAGAACTTCCAGGTCAAATGCTGGCGGGGAGGCGGGGGGGCAGCAACCAAAAGGCAGCTAAGGTGCACTGAAGCCCTTTGCCCTGAGGGTCTCAGGGGTTAAGGGTTCAAGGTAAGGGTCTACTAGGAGACCCCCTCTCTATTTTGCCATGTCCAGCACCAAGCAGAGCATGGGAGATAAAATGAAAGGAAAGTCTTGCTCCTGAGAAGTGAGGGACAGGGACCAGAACTCACCCCTGTTGATAGCATGAGGAAACCTCCCTCTATGACCTCAATTCTCGGGGATCCCTAGACTTGTAGTCCTCCACAGTGCCTGGCAGAGCAAATGCATATCCTCCGGAGGAAAGGCATTTATCCTAGGCTTTAAGGAGCCCATAAACAACTGTTCAAGGGCAGTGACCAGCATACAGTGAAAAATGAGCAAGGCACCACGGGCGGGCACCAGCAGCTGCAACCCACAGCAGAAACAGGCTCAGAAAGTCAGAACTGTCAGGGTCAGACTCTACCCCAGTCATGCTTACTTTGTTTAAAGGAATAAAAAGACAAGTGCGGAGCTGTAGGGAAAAAGAAAGCATGAATGACCTAGCAGATTTGGAAAAGAGCCAGATGGAACTTCTAGAAATGAAAAGTCGAATCACCTACTGTATTCAGTTAGCGAGGAGCAGGTGGGGGTGCAAAAAGGTGCAACCCCCTTGGAAAGAAATGTGGCAATACCTAGCAAAATTGCATGTGAATTTGCCCTTTACCTAGGAATCCGCTACTTCCAGGGCCATGCCCTAACGATCCAGTGGCAGAAATACAAACCAATATCCATACCGGGCTTTTCACTACAGCATTCTGTGTGAGAGCAAAGACCGAACACTTCCCAGGAGCCTCTCAACAGATGCATTATCCACATGGTGGAGTGTGAACCGTTAAGAAAAAGATACATTCCAGGGCGCCTGGGTGGCTCAGTTGGTTGAGCGACTGCCTTCGGCTCAGGTCATGATCCTGGAGTCCCAGGATCGAGTCCCGCGTCGGGCTCCCTGCTCGGCAGGGAGTCTGCTTCTCCCTCTGACCCTCCTCCCTCTCATGCTCTCTGTATCTCATTCTCTCTGTCTCAAATAAATAAATAAAATCTTTAAAAAAAAAAAAAAAGAAAAAGATACATTCTGCAGTGACAGCTAGGATTTACACCTAATTAAAAAGGAAAAATCACCGGCTCCCTGCTCAGCGGGGGGTCTGCTTCTCCCTCTGACCCGCTTCCCTCTCATGCTCTCTGTCTCTCATTCTCTCTCTCGCAAATAAATAAAATATTAAAAAAAAAATACGAGAAAGGTGGGGGAAACATAAATTAAAATGCAGGAAGGATAAGGGGGCGCCTAGTAAAACAGTAGCCTGGGGGGAAGTGGGGAGGAGCAGACTCTAGCGGTTACACCTGCTGAATGTACCTTGTTTTGTAGTTTCGACTTTGGGGCCATGACAGTGTTTAACCTCTTTAAGTCAGAAACATAAAAGCAAACTAAATAAAGCAAAGGAAATTAACTTGGTATCTGAATTGCTAGCACAGCCATACAGAAAAGAAGGTGTCCAGTTATTTTAAAATGTAAGTCTTTCCGTTATACTTGTGCCTTCCTCACCTTACGGAATGATGTTCAACATCAGCAAGAATTTTTTTTTTTTTTTAAGATTTTATTATTTGACAGAGACGGAGATAGCGAGAGCAGGAACACAAGCAGGGGGAGTGAGAGAGGGAGAACCAGGCTTCCCGCTGAGCAGGGAGCCCGATGCGGGGCTCGATCCCAGGACCCTGGGACCATGACCTGAGCCGAAGGCAGACGCCCAACGACTGAGCCACCCAGGCGCCCCTCAGCAAGAATTTTTTTAAATGGAAATTAAAGCAGTGAAGTAATTTTGCCTATCACCTTGGCAGTGGTTAAAAAAAAAATGTGTTGTTAGCAAGTGCATGGGGCAGAATTACTGGCCATGTCATGCCAGCCAGCCGCCGCCTTCCGATCAAGAACCTTGTTTGGGGCACATTCCTGACAGGCACCTGCTCTAGGAAGGCTGGGCCCCTTCCTTGGAGTGAATTGTGATTGGTCTGAACCAGCATGTCCTTCCACGCCTCTGGTCAGAATCTGGTCCTGTAATCGGCAGAGGATGTGATTCTGGTCAATGTGGGAACAAGTGTGAGAAGATGGCTTCTGGAAAGTTCTCCAACCCCAAAGGGACCAGAAGTAGGGACACACCCATTTTGATGGGGGACATTGTTGGGGAGGATACGGCACCTGTATTCTGAGTCACTGGGAATCCAGGGAGGGTCTCCTCAGGCCACTAAATTGACCACCCTAAGACTTCCTACCATTGCACAGCTGCTTAAATGAGATAATAGTGTTTTCCCCTGTAAGCCAGTTTTAACTGGGCATCTCTGAAATTTGGAACTAAAAGGATCTTTGATACAGCAGAGTGGTGGGGAAACAGGCACTTTTATTCTTGGGTGATGATACTTGAATTGGCACAATGTTGTCAGGGCAATATCAAAATTATCGATAAATGTATAAAATTTAAAAATACGTATCTAAATGTAACACACACACACAGATCTCACAGATGAACTTTCACAGTTAACGTTTCGTGTACAAGCATGTTTGCATTAGCAGAAGATGAGAAACAGCTTAGATATTCATGAGTAGGGTCCTGGTTAAATAAATTAAGGCGTATCCTTGAATTGGAAGCTAGGGGGAATTTTTTCTAACCAGGTAGCTGTTTGTCCCACGTGGAAAGATGTCCAAGAGCAATAGTCCAGTGATGATGGCTCTCTGTTGTTTCTCCCCACCCAAAATCCAGTCCCTCTTTTCCTTTTAGTGATAGCGTCCTGGGTCCACCCCGGCTCCATCCCTGACACCAGGGGGCAGGGACACATGACCCAGGCCTGGCACAGCCGAGCATGGAGGTTGGCTGAAGATGAACACCCCAACCCAGTGAACCCTAAGGAAACCCAACTCCAAGACTTTAGAACTATTGGAAAGCGAATATCTCTTTCCACCTGAGGCTGGGAGGATGTAAGTCTGCAGCTGCTGGGGTGGAGGGCAATCACACGGACAGAGGGTGCTGTCACAGAGAAGCCAAGAAATGAAGAGATTCCGAGTCCGGATGATGTCTGAGCCCTGGATCTTGACGTGCCTGGGGATGGTTTCTATATCCTGGGCTTTCATTCATTCATTCATTCATTCACTCACTCATTCATTCATTCATTCATTCATTTTATTTTTATACATCCCAGGCTTTTGAATTACGAGTCAAAGATGCTTCCCAACCTTTTTTTCTTCCCCCAAGCTGGTTTAAGGTGATTGTTTCTCACCTGCAACTGAAAGATTCTTGATTAATTCACAAATACATACATCTCTGTATTTTTATAGGCGACATCTGCAAGACTGTGCCCTTAGCTGTTAAGAGTGGCTGTATCTGGGGGTTGGGGTTTTAGAAGACATAAATTTTCTAAATTATAGAGTCGTGTTGTCCGTTGGTAACCTGCAGCCTCTGTGACTCTTCAGTGCTTGAAGCATGGCTGGGCTGTATGAAGATGTGCTGTATGTTGTACATGAAGAAGACATATAAAAAAAAAGAATGTAAATTTCTAGTTAATTTTTAAAATCAATTAGATATTGATACTATTGTGGATATATTGAGTTAACTAAAATATAGTTTCACCCGTAACTGTTTACTCTTCTAAATGTAGCTACTAAGATTCCTTAAATTATGTTTATGGCTTGCATCGTATTTCTGTTAGCTCTGGTATAGACTTCTCGTGAAAGCCAACCTATAAATATTTGTTGAATGAGTATGATGTTTAAAATGTTTGCAACATGCAGTATTAACTTTGTAATCAGATAAGCCGAAGCTTGAAAATGTTTAACACAGTTGCGAATATTTGTATAGTGATCTCAGTCATGCCTCAGTGCCTGGGATTTTTGCATTAACTGCAGAGGGCTGGGAATTAGTTTGGTGGAGGGGTCAAGAGCATGGGCTTTGGAATTCCACAGACCAGGATCTGACCCCAGCTCTGTCCCTTTGTGACCTTGGGCAAGTTAATTCAACACTCTGAGCCCTGGTTTCTTCAGGCGCAAAATGGGGTTAAACACATTTTTGTCCATACATGTAGCTTGACTAAGGTGTCTGAAAGGAGAACCTTCTGTCTCTGCTCCTCGGTCTTGTGCTACCACCGAGCTCAAAGGTTCGAACACTTCCCACCTACCTCTGCAGAGTGGAGGTTCCTAGTTGTCCACCACATCCATTCTCTCGTTCTACCATAATGGGATGGTAGCTGAACCCATCACTAGATTCCTTTCCCCAGCCTCCCTTGTACATCATCTCTCACCCTTGGGCGGTATGGATTGGACAGCTGAACCACTCAGAATTTTCCTAGGAATTTAGTTATGCTGGCCAAGAAAACGCACCCCACATAACTTCCGCTGTGGGGAGCGTAGCTGACTCTGAGGATCCTACAACAGAGTTGTGCCTTCTCCAGGCTGCTCCCAGCCAAGGATGAGCATGCTGAGGATACCAGCATAAGTCCATCCTTGCAGGACAGAGAATGCCTCTAATTTGAGTCATGGGCTCCCTGGCAGCCTGGCAGAGACTGTCAGAGCCGCACTGAGGCTCTGAGGTCTAAGGCTCTTCCTACCCAACCCCCTATTCTTCCCCACTCTACACAGGTGTCAGGCCCATCCTGGCACCTGCTTCTCAGGAGACCTGATCTCAATGCATTAGGACTGGACTTCAGCGTCACTGCGTGTAGCTGAAACCTAGGAATTGTGCGGGGGCCTTCTATCTAATGTGCAGGTCCCAGGGTTGAATCTGTGTTTTCCAAGCTTGCCTTGTCACAAGGATCAGCTAGTAGCTTGTTAAAAATAAGAATCAGAAGCTTCTTATTCAAGAGGCCTGGGAGAGGGCGCCTGGGTGGCTCAGTTGGTTAAGCGACTGCCTTCGGCTCAGGTCATGATCCTGGAGTCCTCGGATCGAGTCCCACATCGGGCTCCCTGCTCAGCGGGGGGTCTGCTTCTCCCTCTGCCCTCTTCCCTCTCGTGCTCTCTGTCTCTCATTCTCTCTCTCTCAAATAAATAAATAAAATCTTTAAAAAAAAAAAAAAGAGGCCTGGGAGAGTGTCTGGGAATCTGTTCTTTTAACAAGTGCCCCAGGTGATGCCTATAATCAAGTCATTTTTTAAAAAAAAGATTTTATTTATTTGACAGAGAGACAGGGAGAGAGGGAACACAGCAGGAGGAGTGGGAGAGGGAGAAGCAGGCTTCCTGCAGAGCAGGGAGCCCGATGCGGGGCTCGATCCCAGGACCCTGGGACCATGACCTGAGCCCAAGGCAGACGCATAACGACTAAGCCACCAGACACCCCTATAATCAAGTCATTTTAAGAAAGACTTGGCTCAGTAATCATCAAAACTTCCCAATACACCACAGATAATGGAGGAGAAAAAATGGGATGTGACTTGCAAACAAAGAAACCAGGCTCAAGCCTTCCTCTTAAGACAGAGGCCCTGGGGGAAAGCCCCAGGCCACCCCACAACAGGCACTTGGTGTCACTAGAGACTTGGTTTTGCAGGGATAGTTTGGTAAATGACAGGACCAGCAGACCTCATGGACATCATTTCATTGATGCACGTGCTTGGCGGTGGAGGGGTTCCTTGGTCGGCTGTTTCTGCTCACTGGGGGCACTTGTCCAGTACCTTCAAAAGATTCCCTAAGGCACCCTCCTAATTGTTGCATTAATTTTTTTTTTTTTTTTACTGAGGTCAAATCCACAGAACATAAAACTCACTGTTTTAAAGTGTATACAATTTAGTGGTTTTTAGAATACTCATCAGGTTATGCAACCATCCCAGTTATCCAATTCCAGAACATTTCTGTCGCCCCAGAAAGAAACCCTGTATCTCTCGTTCTCCCCTCCCCATCCCTTGACAACCACAAGTCTACTGTCTGTAGACATGCCCATTGTATATATTTCATATACATGAAATCGTATAATATATGGTCTTTTGTGACTGGCTTCTTTCACTTAGTATTGTGTTTTTCAAGGGTCATCCATGTTGTGGTATCTATCAGTACTTCGTTTATATTTAGGGCTGAATAATATTCCATTGTGTGGATAGACGGCATTTTGTGTATCTGTTCATCATTTGATGGACATTTAGGTGGCTTCCACTTTTTTGGCTATTACCACTAGTGCTGCTATGAACATGTGTATGTGTGTTTGTTTGAATACCTGTTTTTGATTCTTTTTTAAGATTTTATTTATTTATGTGACAGAGAGAGAGAGAGAGGGAGAGCACAAGCAGGGGGAGGGGCAGAGGCAGAGGGAGAAGCAGGCTCCCCACTGAGCAGAGAGCCCAACATGGGGCTTGATCCCAGGACTCCAGGATCATGACCTGAGCTGAAGGCAGACGCTTAACCGACTGAGCCACCTAAGCACTCTGTTTTCACTTCTTATGCGTAGACACCTAGGAGTGAAATTGCTGGGTCATACGGTAACTCTATGTTTTTCTAAAGAACTGCCATCTAGGAATAAATTTAGCTAAGGAAGTGAAAGACTTGTACACTGAACACTACAAAAGTTGTTGAAAGAAATGAAAGAAGACCTAAATAAGTAGGAAAACATCCCATGACTTAATATTGTTAAGATGGCAGTCTTCTCCAAATTGATTTACAGATTCAATGCACTACCCATCAAAATTCCAACTGCCTTTTTTTATAGAAATGAACAAGCTGATCCTAAAGTTTACATAGAATTACAAGGGAGCCCAAATACTCCAAACAATCTTGAAAAAAAAAACACAAAAGAACCACATTGGAAGACTCACAATTCCTAACTTTAAAACTTACTACAAAGCTACAGAAATAAAAACGGCATGGTAGTGGTAAAGAAACAGACATAGAGACCAATGGAACAGAATAGGAGTTCAGAAATATACCCATATATCTATGGTCAATAATATTTCAGCAAGGGTGTCAAGACCATTCAACGGGGAGAAAATAGTCTTTTCAACAAATGGTGCTGGGACAACTGGATCTCAACATGCAGAAGAATGAACTTGGACCCCTATCTCACACCATATATAAATATTACCTCAAAATGGAGTGAAGACCTAAATGTGTATATTGGGGCACACCTTCAACACTCTGCCAGGCAGTTAACTGCTCTGCCTTAGCTTTCACTTCCTGCTTGCCTACAGACAGGGGTGAAAGCATAGAGCCTTTTCAGGTCTTTCCTGAGCAAATGCACAGCCCCAGGCATGTCCATGGTCTTCTAGATTTCTAGAAATATGTCAGAGCTTCTCAAAGCCCTTATTCTTCTGAATTATCTCATTCTCAAATTTTTCTTATTTATCAGGCTCTTTCCTCCTAAGCTTTTTAGTTAGTCTGTTGTTTGCCCCAACTATTATCCATTGCCTCCAGCAACCACTAAACATTCTCCTATAAATATTTTTGATAAATACCCCGGGATCATGACCCGAGCCGAAGGCAGATGCCCAACCGACTGAGCCATCCAGGCATCCCTGTAAATTTAAGTCTTTACTCAAATTTAGGATGTCTTCAGTCACTATTTCTTCAAATATTTTCTCTGCACCAGTCTCTTTCTTAGGGTCTAATGACCCTCTTCATTAGGGTCTCATGACACTAACGTTAGACCTTTTGATGCTGCATAGGTCGCTGATGCTCTTTATTTTTTCAATCCTTTTCACCCTGTGATTTCTATTTATCTGTCCTCAACTTTACTGACTCTTTCATTTGTCATCTCCATTCCATTATTGAGCCCATTCAATGATTTGGCTTTGTTTTGTTTGTTTGTTTATTTCGGTTTGTTGTGGGGTTTTTTTTTGTGGGGTTTTTTTGTTTGTTTTTTTGAAGTTCTAAAGTCTTTTTTATACAGTTTATATTTATCTGCTGAAAACAAGTTCCATTCATTTCAAACATGTTTACCTTTACCTCATGGAGGATAGTTATGATAACTGCTGTAGAGTCTTCGATAATTTCAACATCTGATTGTGTCTTCCCTCATGAATTTGCCATATTTTCCTGGTTCTCGGTATGTTGAGTAATTTTGGATTGTATGCTATACATTTGCAATACTGCTTTGTTTTTTTTTGTTTTTGAGACTCTGGGTCCTGTTACATTCTCTGGAGAATGTTGGAATATTGCTTTTTTGTTTGTTTGTTCAAAGCAGGCGGTCAAGCTGGTTAAGACCACAGATTCTCTCTCTCCTTCTGTGTTCAGCGGTTCCCATGTCAGTTCAGTTTTCAAAGACTTGGCTACACATCTGAGTGTGCCCCGTGAATGCATTGTTGCAATGGGTATTAGTTGATATGTAGAAGCTGGGGAACCCATTCTCAAGCTTCCTCCTCTCCAGAATTTCCTCCACACTCCCTGACTCCCAGGTTCCCTTTTCCAGATTCCTCTGACCAGGAAGATGAGATTCTCTAGGAATGTCAGCCCCCTTCTTGCCACCACCCCCCCCCCCCCGCCCCGCTGTAGGCACAGTTCTGTGTGATTGGGCTTCCTCTGGGGTGAAGTAATGAGAGAAAAGACAGAGGGTAGCAAATGACAGGGATCCCCTCATTCTTCACACAGCAGGGACCCTTTATCCTCACTCCTCTGTCCAGAAATGTGGGTCACCATCTCTCAGGATGTTAGGTGCCCAGGCCCCCCACCACCCCCACCATGACAATGAGGTTCCTTAAATGGCCCTGGGCTCAGGGTAGGACTGGGGAGAAGAAGAAGAATGGGGAGGTTCTCCACCCCCTCTCCTGCTCACAGGGGCCATTGTCCGGTTTTCTGGCCATAAACACTAGTTTCTCTTGAAGGTTTTACTGTCTCCACCTGCTATGCAAGTCCCTAATTCAGCTGGCCTCAGCCCAAGGCCAAGTAGATAAAGGAGATAAACAGGAAACCACCTCTGCCATACTGGTTTCTCTTCACCTTTTGACTTTCCCAAACTGCCTGCTACTATTTACTTTTCACAGCCTTTAGGTCATTACTTTTTGGGTTTTTTCAGTTTTCCAGTGGTAATCAGCAGATGAAGGAGATGAGTCCCCTTTTATCTCCTTAGAAACCTTTCCCACAGATGCCATTTGCTTCTTCCTCAGGCCTGGGGATTATCTGAGAGGCAGAGAACTAATTCCAGATCCTTATGCACCAGGCTTGGGGTTTTTCTAGTAATATGATCTTATAAAACCTAGGTTGATTGCTAATTCATTTCATTTTGGGGGACATGATTGTACATTGGCCTTAGCCAGTGGGTTCCGCAGGCCGGGCCACTCTTGGGGTCCCAATAGCACCCTGATTGCTTGTTGCCTTGATGACCCAGCTTGGTGTGGATTGATTAACTGCTGAGTCCTGAGTCCTCTCTCTAGTGGCCTTGACCTAGGGCCTGGGTGGGGAACCCCAGGCTGGGGATGGGATGACAAGAGCCCGTAGTGGATGCCAAGATGCACTATCCAGATTCTCCTCCCCCGTTCAGGGTTTAAGGATGTGTCCCCCTGAGCTGCCAAGTGCGTTGTTGCCAGATAGCCCCTATCTGCTGGCCATCTTCAGACTTACATTTGCTAAAGAGCAACACCTTGCCCCAGGTCACATCCCTGCCCCAGGGGCGCCCTTATGTAATGATTAATGCAGGTTTACAAAGTCCTGGCTCTCATGCCCCCAGCTTGGGATGACTCTGAAAACCCTCTTGGCTTCAGAGATCCCCACTGGGTTGCCTGGGGCCTTTGCTGAGACCACACCACAGTCCAGAATCTCCTCTTCCTGGTCCTGCTTCCTGCCCTTCTCCCATCCAGTGGCCAGCCCTTTGTAATGAAGCTCTGGCAGGCTATCATCCTAGAGTCAGCATCCTAGCAGACCAAACCTGCAACAGAGCCTTTCTCTGCCACCAGGCCTACCTAGGCTGTGTCCTCTGTTCTTGGTGTCAAATGCAAGGCTCAGGTCCAGGCCCCGGGCGGCAGGCCACGGCAGCCAGCAGGGAGGCCTGGCTCAAGCTGCTGTTCTGCAGACCCAGAAAGGTCAGCTTCCACACATTAGGTATTTTCTTTCTGGGCTGCCCACTGATTTGAGCATCAGACCAATGCTTGAGACCTGATTTCCACGCCACCCATACAATACCTAACATACGAAGCATCCCCACTTTACTTCTGGAAATCTAGTGCTGCCTTCTGGTGTCGGCCTGTAGAAGGTCCTTCCATCCCTACTCAGACTAGGAAGTTCATTTTGATGGCCTGGAGGCACCAGGCCCGGCTGATAAAGTGCTTTTCTAATGATCCTGGTGTTTCTATCACTAGCCCATTTCTCAAATCAAGGGGGAAGTCCTCTGAGCCTCTTTGGGAGAGGTAGTAGAGGGGGGAACTGGGGCAGGGACAGAATGTGTTCCAGCCCCACAGTCTCTGTATTTCATCCTCAATCCAGGCCAAGGACAGTGCCCCTAGGCACAGAGCTATATTTGGTTCAAGTGGGCATCGGCTCCCCTGGAAAATGCTGCACCTTGCCCTGGGGGCAAGCTGGCCCCAAAATACAGATTCCCATCCACACTTAATCCTCCCACTCAGCCTGACCCAAGAAGCCACATTGTGCTCCCTGTGGATGAGCTTCCTCGTGGTTCCTTCCTCTCCTACGGTCCCCACCCCCCATTCAAGTTACTGAAGTTCTAGCCCCTCAGGACATTGTTTGGAAATAGGGTCATTGCAGATGTCACTGGTTAAAATGAGGTCATTAGGGGGGCCCGAATCCAATAGGACAGGTGTCCTTATAAAGAGGGGGAATTTGGACACGCACACACAGGGGGAACACCGAGTGAAGATGAAGGCAGGATCAGGGTGATGCTTCTACAAGCCAAGGAACACCACAGACTGACGAGAACACCAGAAGCTGGGAGTGAGACAAGGAACAGACCCTCCCTCACAGCCCCAGAAGAAATCAACCCCTCCAACACCCTGATTTCAGACTGCTGGCCTCCAGAACTTTCTGATACTCACTTCCATGGTGTCCACCCAGTGTGTGGTCTGTTGTCGCGGCAACCCCAGGAAACTCAGAGTCCAAGTGGAGCTCCCTTCTGGTGACCCCGGTCTTGGCCCGTGGCTGCCAGTGCTTTGAGATGCTCTCAGAGCAGTCCGACCAAGGCCCCCGGTTCAACCTGCAAAGGAACGTGGAGATCTTACTGGAAGGGAATGAATGGAGCCATCCGATGCTGTGGTCCTGGCATCCCTGTTCCCTTCAGGTGATCGTCCAGGGCCTCGATGTCGGAGCACCTGTGGTCTCAGGCAGCCCTCACTGGCACCCGGGTGAGTTGTTTTAACAGAACACGCTGCCCCATCCTGAACACACGGGGGACTCTCCTGGCCTTGTCCTCATCTTGGCCCAATAGCCGGTTTCAAATCCCACATTCTTCTAGGGCATCTGGGCCTAAATGCCACTTCTAGTACCAATTTCTGCACTTGTGAGGGTTCTTTGTTTGCAGAGACCAATCTTGAGTGAATTAGGCAGGAAGAAGGGTTTTTGTGGAAGCATGCAAGGGCGCGTCACGGGAAGGGTGGGGACTGGGGCTCTGGGATTCATGGCAATGGGGACTCAGGGGACTCTCTCTCTAAGGCACCTCCGTGGGCGCCTTCCACCCCATCACCTTTGGTTCCAGTGAGCCCCTGCTCCAGAACCCTGGGCGAGGGAGAGAATGATCTGCCCGTTTCGGGTCAGATGCTCCATCCCTGTAGACCAGAGGTGAAGATTGGATTATTATCCTGAGTTGTCATTGCAATATTAGTGGGTGTAAAAAGCACCCCCAGTCTGATTATTGTATTAATTCATTCAACAAATACTTACGGAGTGTCTACTGTAGTATGTGCTCGGGAAACAAGGGTGACCAACCTCGGCCAACTCCTTGTCCTTGGAGCTCGCAGTCTTGGGAGGGAGGCAGACCCCAATCAGGTGGTGAAATCGGAATCAGGCAAGGGCCACGGGTTCCTGGTGCTCTGAGAGGGAACACAGGGGGTTTGACCTGAGGAAGCAAGGCCCCACCTTTGCCCCCCAGGTCACCACTGCGCATGCTTTAGACGCATTCCAAGCCATCAGTGCTGCTCCCCAGCCCGTCATTCTTCCCAGGATCATATTCTGAGCCTCTGCCATCATCCCCAGCGGAAAGATGAACTTCCTGCAGCCCCAGGAGGCACTATCTGGGCACAAGGCTGTCACACTCCTCTCCCCAGTGGGGCCCCTGCTCCTGGCCCACTCACTGTCTGTTCCTCTCTGTCTCCCCTTCTCTCTGTCTCTTTTGCTCGCTGTCTCTTGTCTGTCTCTCTCAGTGAGGAAAAATCAAAAGCACCCGATTTTATTTTATTTATTTATATATATATATATATTTTTTTAAAGATTTATTTATTTATTTATCAGAGAGCGAGAGAGACAGAGGCAGGCAGAGGGAGAAGCAGGCTCCTTGCTGAGCAAGGAGCCCGATGTGGGACTCAATCCCAAGACCCTGGGATCATGACCTGAGCCGAAGGCAGCCGCTTAAACAACTGAGCCACTCAGGCGTCCCGCACACGATTTTAGAAACTGGAACACAGATGAATTAGTGGATCTGACTTAGCAGAGTAGAGAAAGTTGAAAGCTAAGCTGTCAGAGGGGGAAGCCAGCAAGAAACAACCCAATTCCCCCCCAGTATGGCTGAAAACAAAGACTGCTACAAAGTATCCCAAAGGGCCAGTGGGTCCCCACACCTCCCTTCCCACTTCCCATCTACTCTGGCAAAAGGGTGGTATCAAACAGGCTCTGACTTTGGGAACACTGGGCAGAATCGGAGGCAGGAAGAGTTCTTCTTGAAACCATGGGGGTTTAGTGAAATCTGCTTTCCGAAACGTGAGACCTCCTTTCCCAGTCTTTTTTACCCCCCATGTGGCTCCTAGAATGCCCAGGGCCAAGTTACTTCCCCAGGCAGGAGATCAGATGAGTCCTTTCAAGAGAAACTGAGTGGCCCGAGAGAAAATACTACCAGATGTTGGAGGACACCTCTCCCCATGGCGGAGTCCCTCTCTTGCTTGCAGAGCGACTTACTCTACACACGTCATCAAACAGCCCAGCACCACCTGGCATCTTAGGAAATCCTCCAACAGGAGAAATGAAGCAAACACTTAAAAAAAAAAAATTCTCTATCTCATTCTCTCTCTCAAATAAATAAATAAAATCTTAAAAAAAAAAAAAAAAGGGCGCCTGGGTGGCTCAGTTGGTTAAGCGACTGCCTTCGGCTCAGGTCATGATCCTGGAGTCCCGGGATCGAGTCCCTCATCGGGCTCCCTGCTCAGCAGGGAGTCTGCTTCTCCCTCTGACCCTCCTCCCTCTCATGCTCTCTCTATCTCATTCTCTCTCTCAAATAAATAAAATCTTTAAAAAAAAATTAACTAGAGCAAACAATGATGTTAGAGGAAGCAGGAACAAAGTTTACTGTCTTTGGGGAGACAGGAGCAAATATTGCGATCGTGCAGCAGGAGAACGTATAAGAGAAAAACCGAGTCTGAGAATAAGAAAGCTCTGGAAATTAAAGACAGGCTTGCATAAATAAAAGCAGAAAGGTTAGAGGACAGTGACGAGAAACTCTTCTAGAAAGCATAACCAAGAGGGGCGCCTGGTGGCTCCATCAATTGGGCGTCTGACTCTTGATTTCTGCTCAGGATATGATCTCAGGGTCGTGGGACTTAACCCCATGTCGGACGGGCTCCTTGCTCAGTGAGGAGTCAGCTTGTCCCTCTCTTTCTGCTCCTCTCCTCGCTCTTTCTCTCTCTCTTACATAAATAAATAAATACATAACATATTTTTTTTAAAAAGGAAAATGTAACTAAGAGATTAAGTGATGAAAATGAAAGAGAAAGTACAATGGACATTAGAGGATCGGAACAGAAGGTCCAACATCCGAATACTCAAAATTCTAGAAAAGCAGAAAAGAGAAAATGGAAGGGGACACTATGAAATAAATAAGTCAAATTCATTTCTTGAACAGAAAAGCATGAGTCTCCTGACTGAGGTGGCTACCTGAGTGCCTGTCATCATGGACCTTCAGAATCCAGGTTAAAAAAAAAAAAAAAAAGATTTACAATCTTCCAGAGGCAGAATACCAGCCACACAGAAAGGATCCCGTATCAAAATGGCACGGGACATCCTGGATAGCCACACTGGAGGCCAAAAGACAATGAGAGGGTGTCTTTAAAATCTGAGAAGGCATTGCCATTCTAGAATCCATGTTCAGTCACGTGTAAGAATAAAAACTTTTAATTTTTTTTAAAGATTTTATTTATTCACTTGAGAGTGAGAGAGCACAAGCAGGGGGAGGTGCAGAGGGAGAGAGAGAAGCAGACTCCCTACTGAGCAGGGAACCGAATGCGGGGCTCGATCCCAGGACCCTGGAATCATGACCTGAGCTGAAGGCAGATGCTCAACCGACTGAGCCACCCAGGCGCCCCAAATAAAAACTTTTTAGATGTGAGGACTCCCCAAATTTTTCTTGCTGTAAGCTCTTTCTCAGGAAGACCACTAAAGAATGTGCTCCCCGGAATGAAGGTCAGGATGATCAACGCTAGCCGCGCAGCATTCCCATCCCTGCCTTAGCTCAGAAATGTCTGCATTTCCAACCTGGTCTGGCAGGAGGCTTGCTCTACCCTCACCAGATGTGCAAGCTCTTTGCCTCTTGCCTTTTGACTCAATCCCCATCCTTCCATATGCTCCAGTGCTCGAGGCTGGAAGATGGGAAATGACATTTCCCCGGGCTCCCTTACCAGCTGGCCTCTGGCTAGATTCTGCCAATGGAAAGCACCAAGGAGGGATGAGAAGTCAAGATGCAAGCAAAGACCTTCCCTGTTTCTGGTGGAGCCGTCGCTGGCTGGAGAGTCTGGGCTGGTTGTTTCTTGCTTACACGGCCCAGTTCCCACAATGCCGACCCCAGCCTCGTTTCTGCAGCAATTGTGTCTCTCTGTAATACCATTTTCCCCTCTTGCCCCTCTAGCCCTAGAGGTCCTAACCTAGGTAGTCCCATCATCCCCTGTGTCATGCTCCAGCCCTTTTAACGTGTTTGTGACCATTTTCCTCTATTAAATGTTCTGCTTAATTACTTACGAGTTCTGGTGTTTTCCTCACTGGAGGGACAGCTCAGGGTTGCACCATCAGGAACACATCACCTCCAAGGCTACGCGGCAGGGGAGACGTGAGATGGAGGTGGCCCACCAGCTCCTAAGTGCTTTGGCTTAAACATAGCCCAGGTCACTTCCTGTCATAGTCCCTTGGCCAAATTAATCATTTAATCCCAGTTGAACTGCATATAAGACTTGGAAATATAGGAGAAGACTTGGAATATTTGGTGAGCACTAAGTGTCTCTATTAGGACTTCCAAAGGAGAGAGATGCCGTGTGAGGAAACAGATTGATGGAGGAGAGAGAGAGAGTAAGAGACACAGAGTCCCAGATGATGACACCAGAGTTCCAGGCTGACAGAGCACTCCAGAGGGCCAACTGCCCAATTTGGGTCCAAGGGAAGGAGGCTCCAGAAGGGATGTCTGGAAACAAAATGAAACAAATAGATTTTCTGATGTGTTTGACCAGGTGGAAATTTGGGTTCACAGGCATTTAGAGAGCCAAAGGAGGATGCGGAAAGACTTTTCAGGAGATTCTAAGACTGAATCAAAGCAAATTTTAAAAAGAAAAAAAAAAGAGAGGAGGAGAGATTAATTCTAGGAAGAACTAAGAGTTGTACAAGAAGGGAACTAATACAAATCCTTTTACTGGGCTCAGCGGGAAAAAATATTTACAGAGATGTACTCATGGGAACAGTACATGTGGATTTACCACTGACTGTGATGAAACTGTGGAGAGGTGTGGTCCCGTCCTGGACTTTTGCAGCTGACCACCAGAGTTGGTACAGACTCCACAAGATAAGGGCATCACGCCCAGGAAGACTGCCCCCACATAGACACCATCTGCAAGTTTGGGAGTCTCCAGGCCCCCGGCACTTCTGACCAACGGGCTACAAGTTCAGGGATTCCTTTGACCTACTCAGGTCGGATCATTAACTAGATCAACTCACAGAATTCAAGAAAGTGCTATACTTACGAGTACAGTTTTACTACAAGGGATACAAAGCAGGACCAGCCATGGTCCCTGAAGAGATCCAAGGTCTAGGAAGAGTCCTGAATGTAGAGCTTCTATGTCCTCTTTCTGGACATGGAGAATCTATCACCAACCAGGAAGCTCACCTGAATCATGGTGCCCGTAGTTTTCATTGGTGTTTCATTGTGTAGGGATGATCCATTGAATCATTGGCCATGTGACTGACCTCAATCTCTAGCCCCAGAGGTAATCATATGGTTGGTCTTTCTAGTATCACCAGCCCCCATCCTGGAGCTAATCCAGCCCCCTTGCCCCCCGAATAACAAAGACATTCCTATCACTGGAGAAATTGCAAGGGCTCTATCCCAGAAAACTGGATAAAGACCAGACAAATTATTATAGGGAGGAAGAAAACATGTGTATGTGTGGCTTAAAGAGTTAAATCTGCATCTTCCAGAGTGGGATGTCCATAGATACTACATAAAATGGAAAAACCAAATAATAGCATCATAAGTGTATTATTTAGAAACATGGCAAAAAAAAATCAGAAGAAACGGGACGGGACTCAGAAGCAAGGAGAGATTTTTGTTGTTGCTAAAGCCTCGTAGAACAATTTGACTTATTCAATTCAGTATATGTATTGCCTGGACAAAAAATTAAAGGGAGAGGGGCTCCTGGGTGGCTCAGTCAGTTGAGTGTCCGACTTTTTTTTTTTTTTTTTAAGATTTTATTTATTCATTTGACAGAGAGAGACACAGCGAGAGCGGGAACACAAGCAGGGGGAGTGGGAGAGGGAGAAGCAGGCTTCCCGCTGAGCAGGGAGCCCGACGTGGGGCTCGATCCCAGGACCCTGGGATCATGACCTGAGCCGAAGGCAGACGCTTAACAACTGAGCCACCCAGGCACCCCAAGTGTCCGACTCTTGATTGCAGCTCAGGTTACAATCTTAGGGTCATGATATTAAGTCCCATGTCAGGCTCCACACTGGGCATGGAGCCTGCTTGGGATTTTCTCTCTCCCTCTCCCTCTGCCCCTCCCCACTCCCTCTGCTTGCTCTCACTCTCTTTCTTAAAAAAAAAAAAAAAAAAAAATTAAAGGGAGAAAGAGGAGGAAAAGGGTGGCTGTTGTTTGTGAGGTGCTCAGTCATGGTCATGGACAGGAGAAATACTCTCCAGGATAGAACTGTTGATTGGGAAGACACCTTATGCAGGTTTTGATGATGTAAAGGTGAGCAACGTACCTGCTAAGGAGTCAGACCGAGAGGAAGGGGGAACCAAGGGTGGTCCCTCTCATCAGCCACCGGAGAACTGTCCAAAGCTGCCTAGAGGTGGAATAGCATGAGACTGAGTGACATGGAGGTCACTGGTGACATTGGAGGGAACTGTCTGGGTGGAGTGATGGGACTGAGGCCAAGTTGGAGAAGGGGGAGGGACAAGTAGATGGAGATATGGACAGAACTGCTATGGGGCATCTTCCTAGGCAGTTTGGCCACCGAGGGCAGGAGAGAGAAGGGGTTGCATGTTTTTAAGATGGGAGAGCCGGGAGAATGAGCAAATGCTCTTGGAAAGAAGCCAGCAGAGAGAGAGGTTAAAGATTCAAGGAGTGAGTGGATCCTCTGGATCCTCTGGGCATGAGGTCTCCCTGGAGGAAGGACCCGGCAGAGATAGCTCTGTTCCCAGCCCTCCGGGGGGAGGGAAGGTGCACACCTAGCTGGCCAGAGGGGAGATGCTCACTTTTCCTTAAACTCCTGGCTAGCAGAGTGCTGTCCCTATTCCACAGATGCAAGGGAATAATTTGCCTCATTACCCAACTGGAAGAGGCCATTGTGAATCCAGATTTTTCTGCCTCCAGAGCTAGGCTCTTGCTGCCCTGGTTCCCCTGATGAGGCAGAGGCAGGGGCAGTCCTCGGCCGCCTGGAGCTTCTAGTCTGGGGGTGAAGATGCCAGCCAGAGCGCAAGCTTTTCAGAGGGCTAGAGGAGAAGTCCTAAACTCCACAGCCTGTGGGGCCAGGAAGCATCCAAAAATGGAACAAGGCGGGTCGGCCAGGCCAGGATGGAGACAGTAAGGAGGGAAGAGGACTGTGACCACATGAGGCCTGTGCCCACCTCCAGTGAGGCATTCCCATACTCTAGCCCAGGAACCGCTCTCCAAGGCCAGATCTTAGGATTTTTCAACAGAATTGGAGTATCCCGATTTTAATGTGAACTCTCCAGGTTCAGACAGTGCAGCAAAGTGGTGGGATATCAAGATGGTCAGGTAAGGCCTCCCTGAGGAGGAGACCCCTGACCCAGGCAGGGGTCAGCTTGGCCTGTCCAGGGACGCCTCTGCACATGGCTACTGGGGTGGGGACCTGGGGAGGGCAGAGGTTGGGGGCGACAGAGAGGGGGCCTGACCGCAGGCCTTGTGCGTAGAGGAGGCGAGCCGGGCTAACCCTTTAGTTAACGAGGGTGCCTCCCACGGCCCCATCTGGTCCTTGGGGGTCCCAGCCCACTGTCCAAACGCGCACAAACTCCGCGCCCAGCTCCCCCGGCCCTGCCTTCACCATCCCAGGCCTCCAGGAGGAGGGGTTCGACGGGCGGAGGCAGCGGCCTCTTTTGGGTCCGCTGGGGGGCGGATTGGGGCCTCCTCTTTGGGTGAGTGTCCTCCAATGGAGTGCTAATGAACCACAGCTTGGACCCGGGCCACGGGCGCCGCGAGGCTGCACCGGGCCCCCGGGGGGTGGCAGGGCCCGGGCCGGGAGCCTCGCCCGCCGTCCCCCCCCCCCCCCCGCCCCGGGGCAGCGACAGTCGCCACCCGCGGGTGAGCGGCCGGGCGGGGAAGGGTTAAGCCCACCGAGCTCGCGGCGGCCTAGAGCGGCGGCGGCGGCGACGCGGGGGCCGGGGCGCGGGGCGCGCGGGTGGCGGGCGGGGGACAGGATGCGGATGCCGGGGGGACTTCCTGTGCCGGCCCCGCCGCCCCCGCCCCCGGCCCGCTGCCCGCTGCCCGCTGCCCGCTGCCGGACACACGCTCGGGCGGGCGGGCGAGCCAACGGGACCCCGGCGCGGGCCGCCCCCCGCCCGCCGGCTCCGGGCACCTGTGGCCGCCGGCGGACCCCGGCCGGACCCGGGCGGACACCTCCCCCCGCCCCGGGGATCTGGGGCCAGACCCCCGCCCCGGCCGGCCCCCAGCCCCCTCCCCAGCCCCCTCCCCTGGCCGCTGACACCAACTTCTGCTCGCGAACTCCGTTCTGCCCCTTTTTTGGCCCAGGGCGACCTCGACGGCCCTGACAGCGACAGGCCCGCCGCCGCAGTGCCCAGAAGGGCCCCCTGTGGCCCAGCGCCTCCCCGGCCCTTTCTGGATGGAGGCGCCTCGGGAAGGAGCTAGCGGCCTGCACTCTCCCGCCGCTGCGGACCACACCTCCCCTAGCGCAGAGGCCGCTGTGAAGAGCAGGAAATGCTGCACCAGGTGGGCCCAGCGGGGAGGTGGGCGGGGGGCGTTCTCTGGAGGGCTTCTGGACTGGATTCTGCAAAGGGGAGTTGGAGTTATCCTGCTAGGAGGGGAGGCAGGACTGGATGTGGGGATACCTCTGCAGGGGCCAGAGTGGATGCAGGAGAGAGGTGGGGAACCTTCCAGACTTCAGGAGCCCCTGGGCCAGAGCTGATTCCATGGGTTGTGCTCTGGAAACCTGCCTTCCTAGGGAGCTGAGGTGGCATCTGGAACCTGTGGCCTGCTTGTGGCCTTGGAAGGCTGGGTGAACCCCAACAGCGCTCTGGGAGGCAAGAAACCAGGGAGGTGAACACACTTGTCAGTGCTTTGAAGGGGGCGGTGGAATGTGAGGTGTCTTTTTCTGCAAACTTCCTCAAATGTCCCTTGTGGGACTCCAGCTCCCTAGTGAAGGCCGGTTCCCACAGTCAGCTCTCAGTGAGGAGCAGATGTACCAGCAGCCCCTAAGCCTGGGCTGAGCGTGGGCCCTGCAAAGTTGGGACAGGAAGGTCTGCCTCTGGCGGGGGGCGGAGGGGGGAATGAATGGGCCCTGGGAGCTGAGCCTCCAGGCAGCCCTGCGCCTCCCTTCCCCAGCTATGGCTTGCACCGTCCTCCTTTCCAGCCTGGGTGGAGACGGAGGGCTCTCTGGCAGTCAGTGCCACGGGGCTGGGGGGCTCACAGCACTCCTGCCCACCTGAACAGCTTCCTCATTCCTCTCAGCACAGCTGCCCCCCCGGGATCTTGGTCTGAACGCTAGGATGGAGCTGGGGGCAGCCACTGAGACCTTCGTGCTGGAGCTTCGGTGTCTTGAAGATGGGGGCCCAGGGCCTGGCACCCTCTCAGGTGAGGGGCTTGTGAGGGGTGTGGCTCTGACCTAAAGCAGGAGATAGTCCTCAGCCCCCGGGAGGACCTTTTGACAGAGCCCCAGGCCTGCTGTGGCCAAGAGAGAGGGGGCTGTAGGGTGCGGGGCAGCCTGCTGTCTGCAAGGGCGCTCCCTTGGTGGTTTCCGGGTGGGGAGGGCAGGCTGCAACCTCTCACACCAGCTGACTTCAGCTGCCTGGAGTAACACTGGCAGGTTTGCCTCAGGATTTTCTGAGGCGGCTCCGTCAGGCTGTGGTTTTGCTGGTGACAGGCTCCCAACAGTGCAGACATTCTCAGCCCATGCCCTGGACCCCGGATGTGTGCTGGCTGGGAGCTGCTGCTGTGTCCCCAGTGGTCACGTAGTCCCCACTGCCCTCCTACCTGTCCCGGGCTCCAGACTCAAGTTCTCAGATTGAAATCAGGGGCTCTCTCCCCTGTGCCCCAGGCATTGGCCCCCTGGCTTCTCTTTTTCCTGTGGCCTTCTCTGACCTTGTCCACTTTTCCTGACCTCTGCTTCCATCCATCTTTCTCCCCTTTTGCCCAGGGCCAAATGTGGCCTGTAGAACCTTCCAAGATGCCTTCTCCCTCTGGCACCCACTCTGGGCCGACTTTCTATGGTGGTCATGCTCCTGGGAGCCAGTTTCCCTCTCTGTCCTTTGAGGGCTCTAAGTGAGGGCTGGTTCAAGGTTGAACAGCATGAAAAGAACCAACGAAATTGGAGGGGTTGGGTGGGGATGTGTGGATGAAATGAGGGGTCTTCCGGCTCAAATATTTGACCGAGAAAAGTCTTGCAAGGGTATACACATCAGGTGAACTTAATGTTTACTAAAACATCATTGTTAAAACTGCTGACGTGGCTACAAGAAGCTGGGACTGGCCACACGGCCAAATGCTGGGCTAGAAATGTGAGGACTCACACAGAGGTGCGATGCATCCCTGCTGCTCTCAGAGGTGGTTTTATTAGATCAATATACTCCTGGAAAAGTGGCCAGAAAGCAAAATTTTATAAATTTTATAAACAAAACCCCTGCTTTCCATTATAAAATTGAAAATATGAGGCGGGGGATGCCTGGGTGGCTCAGTCGGTTAAGCGTCTGCCTTCGGCTCAGGTCATGATCCCAGGGCCCTGGGATCGAGTCCCGCATCAGGCTCCTTGCTCCACAGGGAGCCTGCCTCTCCCTCTGCCTACTGCTCCCCCTGCTTGTGCGCTCTCTCTCTCTCTCTCTCTCTCTGATAAATAAATAAAATCTTAAAAAAAAAAATGGGGCAGTAGGAAAAATAAATGTTGAAATCAGACTTGGGAATGGAGCAAGCCTCTTTGGACTTTCTGGGAACACAGTATAAATGCTCGAAACGAGAAACGACATGTGGCTATTGTGCAGAGTGACACGTGACAATGGAGTGACACGTAGGTGGCAGGGGTTACTGTAAACCTGCACAATGCTGAGGCGCACCTGTACCCCTCGAATTCTCGCTGGGTCCCTGAGAAGGGTCGATCTCCTTTTGCAGACAGGGAAACTCAGGTTCCCAGAGGTCACATAACTGGCCGGTCACGACGTGGGCGTGTGGAGTTAGTCCTTTCTGTTCCAGACTAACAATCTCAAACACGTCCCATCTCGAGGCTGTTTCACACGGGGCTAGTTGTGTCATCGGTATTTCCAAACTGTCAGTTTGCAAATTAATTTCCTAACCCACAGGGAGAGGGGTTTGTCGAGCACCCGCCTGGTTCTAGAGGCTTCACCCAGGAAGCTGGAAGTGTGGGTATCCTGAGGCTGTTACTGACAGGGAGGCCTCTGAGGCTGTAGGAGGAGTGGTAGTTAGGCCCTGACCCGAGGACTTCCCGCTGGAAACCTCGTGCTCTGACACTTCAGGGACTTTTAGAAACCACCTGTGGTAATACTTCCAGGCAGCTTTACAGAGATTCTTTATTATTTACAGAGAAGGCAAGTTCTCGCTTATTTAAGGCATGACCCTAACTGAGGTCAGAGTTCAGCGTGGGCTTGTGGCTTAGCTGTCCGAGTGGCTTGTTTGCTGATTCCCACTGGATGGTAATTAAGTCCCAGAGACTTCTCGGGGAATGGTGTTGGGGAGCCCCAGACACTCAGACTCTTGTCACTGCCAAGATCTAAGCATGGAGGCTGTGTGGAGGAAGGCCCAGAGGAGAGGTCAGAGAGTCAGGGTCCAGAGCGACGCGACCCGCAGTCCTTCGGGCACATTTCTAAGCCAGCCCCACACCTCTGGGCATTTCAGTTTCTGCCACGCTGCCATGGCCACTTGACCCAGTGCTTTTGGGTCCCTGCTGAGAGCTCAACAGTGTGTCCTAGAGTAGCTGTCCATGGGGCAGGGTAAACGGGGGGGTCATGGGGGTCTGATCCCGAGAGCTGCCTGTAGATCTTTCTCTCCTGGCTTCCTGCCATTTCCACTACAGGTGGCAGTGGTGGGGGTGAGAATCAAGAGGAAGAAGAGGCTCAGGAGAAGAACGGCAGCCCACCACGGCCAACAAGCTCAGCCCCGATGAGGGCCGGGGAACTCGCTGAGGAAGCACAGCCCGGACAGCAGGAGTTGCAACTGCAACAGTCAGAATGGCAACGAGAGCTGCAGCCAGAGCAGCAAACACAAAGCCAGCCATCAGGACAGCAGCTAGAATTGCAGCAGCAAGATGGGCAAGGCCAGCTGCCTCAACAAAACAAGGACCTGCAGGGAACACCCCAACCTGTGCCCCCTGGGCAGCTGAGACCACAGCTGCAGCTGATGCAACGGCAGGAACAAATACAGGAGCAGCAAGTGCAGGAGCAACAACTGTGGCAGCAACAGCAGAAACTGTTACAAGAGCAGGACCAGTCACAGCAGCAGCAGCACCTGCAGCAGGAACAGTCACAGCAGCAGCAGCAGCACCTGCAGCAGGACCAGTTACAACAGCTGCAGCACCTGCAGCAGAAACAGTCACAGCAGCAGCAGCAGCACCTGCAGCAGGAACAGTTACAGCAGCAGCAGCAGCACCTGCAGCAGGACCAGTCACAGCAGCAGCAGCAGCACCTGCAGCAGGACCAGTCACAGCAGCTGCAGCACCTGCAGCAGGAACAGTCACAGCAGCTGCAGCACCTACAGCAGGAACAGTCACAGCAGCTGCAGCACCTGCAGCAGGAACAGTTACAGCAGCAGCAGCAGCAGGACCTGCAACAGGAACAGTCACAGCAGCAGCAGGACCTGCAACAGGAACAGTCACAGCAGCTGCAGCAGCACCTGCAGCAGGAACAGTCACAGCAGCTGCAGCACCTGCAGCAGGAACAGTCACAGCAGCTGCAGCACCTGCAGCAGGAACAGTCACAGCAGCTGCAGCACCTGCAGCAGGACCAGTCACAGCAGCAGCAGCAGCACCTGCGGCAGGACCAGTCACAGCAGCTGCAGCACCTGCGGCAGGACCAGTCACAGCAGCTACAGCAGCACCTGCAGCAGCACCTGCGGCAGGAACAGTTACAGCAGCAGCAGCAGCAGGACCTGCAACAGGAACAGTCACAGCAGCTGCAGCACCTGCAGCAGGAACAGTCACAGCAGCTGCAGCACCTGCGGCAGGAACAGTCACAGCAGCTGCAGCAGCACCTGCGGCAGGAACAGTTACAGCAGCAGCAGCAGCACCTGCGGCAGGACCAGTTACAGCAGCAGCAGCACCTGCAGCAGGACAAGTTACAGCAGCAGAAGCAGGAGGAACAGTTACAGCAGCAGCACCTACAGCAGGACCAGTTACAGCAGCAGCAGCAGCAGCAGGAGGAGGAGGAACAGTTACAGCAGCAACAGCAGAACCAGTTGCAGGAGCAGCAGCAACAGTTACAGCAGCAAGAGCAGGGCCAGTTGCAGCAGCTGCAGCAGAAACAGGAGGAACAGTTACAGCAGCAGCAGCAGCTGCTGCACCAGCAACAGTTACAGCAGCAGCAGCTGCAGCAGCAAGAACAGTTGCAAGAGCAGCAGCAGCCCCGTCCACTGGAGCCAGAGGAGGAGGAAGAGGTGGAGCTGGAGCTCATGCCGGTGGACCTGGGGACGGAGCAGGAACTGGAGCAGCAGCGGCAGGAGCTGGAGAGACAACAGGAACAGCGGCAGCTGCAGCTTAAACTGCAGGAGCAGCTGCAGCAGCTGGAGCAGCAGCTGGAGCAGCAGCAGCAGCAGCAGCAGGAGGTGCAGCTGGAGCTGACCCCGGTGGATCTGGGAGCCCAGCAGCAGGAGGTGCAGCTGGAGCTGACCCCCGTGCAGCCGGAGCTGCAGCTGGAGCTGGTGCCCGCCGCGGGCGGCGGCGGGACTCCGGCCCCGGGCGCTCCCGCCGCGGTCGTGGTGGCCCCCCCGGGCTACGTGGTGCTGCAGGAGCTCATGGTGTTGCCGGCCGTGGCGGCGCCCGCGGTGGTGGCCATCCCGGGCCCCGCGGGCAGCGCGGCGCTGACTCCGGCCAGGCAGCGGCGGCGGCGGCGCGCGCGGGACCGGCCGACCATCTGCGGGGAGTGCGGCAAGGGCTTCAGCCGCAGCACGGACCTGGTGCGGCACCAGGCCACGCACACGGGCGAGCGGCCGCACCGCTGCGGCGAGTGCGGCAAGGGCTTCTCGCAGCACTCCAACCTGGTGACGCACCAGCGCATCCACACGGGCGAGAAGCCCTACGCCTGCTCCTACTGCGCCAAGCGCTTCAGCGAGAGCTCGGCGCTCGTGCAGCACCAGCGCACGCACACCGGCGAGCGGCCCTACGCCTGCGGCGACTGCGGCAAGCGCTTCAGCGTCTCGTCCAACCTCCTGCGCCACCGGCGCACGCACTCGGGCGAGCGGCCCTACGTGTGCGAGGACTGCGGCGAGCGCTTCCGCCACAAGGTGCAGATCCGCCGCCACGAGCGCCAGCTGCACGGCGCCGGCCGCTCGCGAGGCCTGGGCCTGCTCCGCGGCTCGCGCGCGCCCACCGGCGGCCCACCGCGCTCCGAGCAGGCGCCCTGACCGGCCGGGACCGGGGCCGGGACCGGGACCGGCGGGGCCGGGCGCGCACGGAGGGGCGGCTGGGGCCGGGGAGGGCGCGGGCTCCTCCCGCCCTGTTCCGTGGCCGCGGGGCCGGGCTTCCCGCGCTCTCCTCGCTTAGCCGAGGGGAGGCCCCGGTCGCACACGGACCCTCGGAAACGCTCCTCGCGCCACCAGAGGAAAGCGAGGAAAGCCGCCGGGGCCGCGCAGCCCAGGTGTTGCGCATCCGTACGAACGGCGCGCCGCACAGATTTGTTCCTGGGCGCCGATCCGATCCGTGAGGAGGCTGCCAAAGCCCTTTCCCCGGAAAACGGGACTTGGAAGAAGTGAGAGCCACAGGAGAAAACTGCCGGTGACACGTGTGACAGTTGGTGACATCAGACATGCATCGAACACTAACCAGGGAATCGAATATATGTGGTAAAATGCACATGAATAGGATTTGGTCCTGGTGAAAATTTCTTCAAGGAAAAAAAAATGGGGGAAAAAAGGAAATGTATCTGCACTTTGTAGAAAACCGATCAAGGCGTTAAATTGTCCTCAATGGCATTTGCCTTGAAAGTACTTTCTAGAGTGAAAATGCCTCAGGGTGGATATCATCCTGGTTAAAATGTTTGTGTTCCTAAGCACAGGGTCAGAGTGTCCCCTAGGTCAATGCACAAATGCCAGGAAGCCCTTCCCTGGGTCGAAGCTAAACCTTCCCCCCTGGGGATCCCAGGGTTCCAGCGAGTGTGGGAGGCAGGCTCTTGCCCTCTTTGCTGCCAAGGTCCCGCGCCCACGGTGGCCTGGCAGTGTCCTCTTGAGCAGGAGCCTGCGGCCGAAGCAGAGGGCATTCGAGAATGCCTCTCCACAGTCCAGTGGAGTGTTCCCCTTGGGGAAGGAGCTCTGAGCTGAGCCCGCCCAGACCTCCCTGGGATCTGCCATCTCTGGGCTTCTCTTCTGCTTGTCCAGGGACTAAGGCTATGGGGTTGGGGCCTTGAGACCCAGGGGCAGGGTTCTCCTGGGCCGGGCTATGCAGGCCGCTGGCCTGAGCAGATCCGGCCTCATCACTGGTGGAGTCAGAGAGAGAAACTGGGGGACAAAGGTTGGAGGCAACAGAAATGCTTTTTACAACGTTTACAGAATTGTCTGGGGGTCTGTCCGAGCATGGGCAATGTTAATGCCTGTGGGAAGGCAGGACAGTGGAGGAGGCTGCCCGCCCCTTCTGCCCCAAGTGCTTGCTTCCTGCTCTTGACTTCCCACGTGCGGCTGCTTCGATGCTGCCCCTCTCTTCGCTCCCTGCTTCTCCTTTACTAACACAGCCTGCGGCATTTTACAAATGTGTTGGTTGAGTGAGAAATAAAAATTGAAAAATAAATTTAAATGAAGAAATACGTTGTCTTGTCTCTGTGTTTTCACGGCTGGATTTTGTGTCTTGCCACCAGTTTCATTTCGGCAGAATATTTTCCTGGTCGCTCTAGGGCGAGGGACTTCATATGCAGTCCCATGCTCAGTGCTCCTCACCCCAGACTCTTCCTTGTAACCTGAGTCCGTTGGCCTTGGATGGGCCTATTCAATAAAACCCTGCTGGGAGGGATGGGGACCCGAGCGTAGATGCTTGAGGAGGCCAGTTTGGGCATCTCCTAAGGACAGCTTTTCCCTTTCTCTGCCACTGTTTACAGTATTTGTGTACAGAGGTGATTTCCTCGGTCCCTCCACCCCCCCGCCAATGGGCCAGAGCCATTTCCCTGAGTAACCATTCACCGAGGTGATGGGGTATCAGATCTTTCAAATGGGGCTCTGACCCCTCAGGGGTGAAGGTCCCGGTCATCCCATTAGACGGGCCTCCTGGAGCAGCAGAGGTGCTGAAGGCAAGGGGGTCCGGGGATGATGGGGGAGATGAGGGCCCACTGCAGCAGTAGGGGCCATAGGGTGACCCCCCCCCCAGGCCTTCTGGCATCAGCGTTCTCCCCCGAGTGGAATCCATGCGGGGTGTGGGGCAAGGAGTGGCCTGAGCAAACATTGATTCTCTGCCCGCATCTTGGGTGGATCCTTTGCAGACACGTGGGCTCCCCCCCACCCTGCTTGGCTTCCCCCAGCAGCCCCTGCGGCTCTTCCATCTTCCACACTCGCAGAGAAGAGGACGTGGCCCCCGCCTCTGAAGAGTTGTGAAAGCCCGGCTCCCTTCCTCGCGTTGGGATGAGTCTGAGGCACCACTTCTGCTCCAGAGGAGCTCTGCGATGAGGTAGAAGGCCCCTTGCCTCTGTAGGGCTTTGCCTGAGACCCTGTCCTTCCTCCCCACCCCTCCCTGGTCTGCACCCCTGCTTCTACCAGCCTCCCCTGGCGCTTTCCTTGAGTAACATTCTGCAGTCTGCTTCCGGGGAACCCAGGACAGGGGCCCACGTCCGGGTGGGTAAGCCGAGCCTGTTGGTAGGTGAAGGCCATGTGTTGGGTGGGGTTTGTCCCAGGTGTTGACAGGCATTGCTGAAGAGCTCACAGCCCAGTAGGAGAGAGACACGAGAGACACACATAAATGGTCATACAGTGGGACGGGCTGCGGTCTTGCTGAGCCATAAAGGTGAGGACAAGAGGGACTAGAGGGGAAGGCGGTCCAGACAGAAGTCACATGGTGCAATGGATCAGAGCCAGAGAGGGCCTGATGTGATTAGGAACGCTGAGAGTTTCCAGATGGCTGGGCTGTAGGTGTTAAAGGAGACAGGTGGTGGAATGAAAGGGAGAGCTAGGGGCTAGATTTTGTGGAACCTATTGGCCCCAGACTCCCAGATTCCTCTTGTTTACCGCCCTGACTTCTCCCCAGAACTTCTCAGCATCCCTGTCTCCTTTATTAGGCTTCTCCATTCCGATAGGCATCTAAGACCAAGCAGACCTGCCCTCTGTGTCCACCCCCCACCCCCAATAACTCCTGAGTCTGGAAGCCCAGCCAAGTGTGGCCCCATGAGTCAGGCTCTATCCTCCCCCACCCTGGGGTGGGGGCTGCTCACCCCTGATCCCTGCCCTCATCACCCAACTCCCCCCACCTTGTTTTTGCCACCGAACCACAAACCAGCTCAGTCCCCAGTCCTGGCCACTCTCCACCCCCATCCCTAGCAGCAGTCTGGGCAGCAGAGACAGGAATAGGCACCCTCCTCTGTGCCCAAGAGGGATGGGAGCCACAGTGCCTGAGCCATCCTTCACTCCTGTACTTTTGCCTTGAACAAACGTCATGGGCAGAACCTTAGTTCAGGCCATGGGGTGGCTGGGTCCAGAAGCCGCACTGCCCACCCACCTGCCCCAGCCAGAGTGCCTAGGGCCCCTGCCTGCGCTCCCCACCCCAGCGAACCTGCATCCTGAGCCCCTGTCTCTGTGGCCAGGAAGTCACCCATGCTCATCCCCATTCACAGCTCCCAGGGCCAGTGCGTCCCAGACTTGGCATCCTGTGTCAGGAGCGGGGGAATCCCGGTGGCAGAGACACATGACACATCAGGGCCCAGGGCTGTGTAGCAGGGAGCTAGGCTCCTCATCTCCCCCCCCCGTCCTGGCAAGGGCTCCCCCTCTGCCTGCTAGCTGTAGTTCAAGCCACATCCAGCAGTTCTTCGACTTGAGTCAGTGGTCGTCACGTTCACGCGTTCACTGTGCCCTTGCTCATTGTGGGGGACTCTGCTTTTCAGTGTTTCAATCATTCCTCTGCCTTTACGAGCTGGCAGCCAGTTAGGCTAAATCATGTGTGTTGGGAGACATGAAAGGAAAGTGTAGAGACTTGAGCACTAAGAAAAGAAGTTTCTTACTGGATGGGAATTTTGTGAAGGAGTCCAGACTCAAGGCTGGCTCATCAAGTGAAAAAATACAGGGGCGCCTGGGTGGCTCAGTCGTTAAGCGTCTGCCTTCGGCTCAGGTCATGATCTCAGGGTCCTGGGATCGAGCTCCACATCGAGCCCCACATCGGGCTCCCGGCTCAGCGGGGAGCCTGCTTCTCCCTCTCCCACTCCCCCTGCTTGTGTTCCCTTTCTCGCTGTGCCTCTCTCTGTCAAATAAATAAAATCTTTTAAAAAAATAATAATAATAAAAAAAAGAAAAAATACAATGTGATTTTTTTTTTTTTTAAAGCTCACAAAATTACCAAAAGTACAACCGGTCTTAATTTTTCATATAATGATCATATCTACAAGGGTTTGCAAAAGATAGGGATCAGGTTGTTTTTGTGAGGGCGTCAGGAAAGGGCTCCAGGTCTTACGTACTTTGGGGACTAGTGCTAACCGGAGGGACCCTGGTGTGAAATCCTTCCTGCCCCTTGGTGATGTGTTAGTCCCCATAACCACAGGAGAGCAGGGTGTCACGTCGCTTTCTTAGTGATTAGGCAAATATCTTTTTCGGCTGACCCTTGGGCTGTACCTCTGTCGTATCAGGAGGGGGCTGGCTAAGCCCAGGATGCTCTAAAATGGAAAATCCCCAGGGAATGAGATAAAATCAAATCTATAAAACAGAAAAGAGCCTGACTCTTATTATTGGTCTTTGGTTCCTTTGAGTCAGCTTGGTATCTTTTAGGAAATAGCAGCTTTCCTCCAGGGAGGACTTGGGGATTGGAATTCCAGCCACCAGTTACTTTGTGACAACTTTCCTTGCCTGGGAAATGGGAGCAAGAGTGTTTATTGTTCTGGGTTATCGTGTGTCAAACTCAATAGGCTAAATAGTACTGGCAAAGGGGCAAATGGGCCCAGCACACGTTAGGCCCTTCGAATATGTTTGTTGCATCTAAAGCAAGAAAGCGTCAAACACAAATTCTTTCCTCTGGTTGGATTTTCTGAGATAAGGCTTTCTACTATTCCAATGTTAAAAAAATTTAGACATTGTAGAAATGAATCGTGAGCCCCCCAGATGGTAGAAGGGCATAGTTGTGCCCTTAGGATCCTCCCCTGCAGGTAGGATCTGGTAGGGTCCCCAGGCGACTCCATCCCAGCCTGTGACATCAGCCTCCACCCAGGCTTCCCTCTTGAACCTGAGAATTCACTGGTCTCCCAGACTTGGATGTCACAAAAATCTAAAGCTCAATAAGACCACACAGAGCTCGGGGCGCCTGGGTGGCTCAGTCGTTGAGCATCTGCCTTTGGCTCAGGTCAGGATCCCAGGGTCCTGGGATCGAGCCCTGCATCGGGCTCCCTGCTCAGCGGGAAGCCTGTTTCTCCCTCTCCCACTCCCCGTGCTTGTGTTCCTTCTCTCGCTGTGTCTCTGTCTGTCAAATAAATAAATAAAATCTTAAAAAAAAAAAAAAAAAAGACCACACAGAGCTCTTAATTCCTGGCCAAGCCTGCATCTCTTGAATCCTCCCTTCAGTGGCTGGCAACACCATCTACTTGGAGACATTGGGACACAAACCCACCCAGGAGTCCTTCTAGATGTCCCCTGCTTTTCCTAATGCCCTCTGCTTCAGCTAACTATTGTTGTGCAATCATCCACCTGAAACAGTGGCTAAAAACAGCAGATGCTTTATTATTTCTCACAGCTCCGCAGGTTGCTTGGGTTCAGCTGGGTGGTTCTTCTGCTCCATGTGATGTCATCTGATGGCTCGGTGGGGCTGAGATGTGGGTTCATCATGAGGCTGGTAGTTGATACTGATGGTCAGCTGGGAGCTCAGTGGGGCTGTCCACTGGAGCAGCTACACATAACCTCTCCACCCGTGACCCGGGTATTTCTCAATAGAGGGTCTGGGTCCCAAGAGACCTGGGGTTGGGATCTGCAAGGCTTCTTATGATCTAGCCTTAGAAGTTATGGAGTGTCACTTATGCCAGAAGCTATTTCCAACCAAGTCACCATCCCAGCCCAGATCGAGGGGTTTTGGGATCGAGCCCCGCATCAGGCTCCGAGCTGGGCATATGGCCTGCTTGGGATCCTCTCTCTCCCTCTCCCTCTGCCCTTCCCCCCCTAGAAAAATAGAAGGCAGCTGTAAAAATAAATACAATGGAAACTAAACGGTATTGTTAAATTATGGTGAGACCCAGTTGCCTGGTAGAAGTTCCGAATTTAAGGCTTGCCCTGTCTTTGTTTAAAGGGTGATGAGCAAGTGTGGCAGAGACGTTGGAGACCAGCAGCCCCGCAGAGAGACCTTCTCCCTGATGCTATTGGAGGGACACCGAGGAGAAGCAACAGGAAAGGTGACAAGGTTAACAGCTGGGTATTACTGAAAGTCCTTCCCCGAACCCCCTTAAACCATCTCTGTCCCATGTGACCCACAGGAGAAAATCTGAATTCCTTACCTCAGAATAAAAGGCTTTTCAGGTTCTCTCTGGCCTTCCCCCTCACCCCAATCTGTTAAGCTCCTGCCTACCCCATTCTGCCAGGCGGTACAAACTCTGGTCATAAGATTGACTTACCCCCCCAATTTACTCTCAACTTATTTA